ACTTTGACTTCAGCTTGATGGCACCTGGTTAGTTCAACTTCCCTTTTGCAGCAATGTCTGCAGTCATTTTTGCAGGGTCTTTGGCTCAGTCCAGCGGAATTTCCATGAGATGTTCCTTCTCTGTACTCAATATCATAATTATACTGGTCTAACTTTCTGATCCAACGTGCTAGTTGTCCCTCTGGGTTCTTTAGTGATCTTAACCAGCGTAATGCAGTATGGTCTGTCCTGATGTTAAACCTAGCCCCATAGAGGTAAGGATGAAAATATGTCAGACTTCTTACTATAGCAAGGAGTTCCCTTCATGTTACACAGTAGTTCCTCTCTTGGTCTACTCAAAACCCTACTGAAGTAGGCCACCACATGTTCGTTTTTGCCCACTTTCTGAGACAACACTCCTCCAATTCTGACATTACTTGCATCACAATCCAGTATGTATGGCAGTGAGAGATCTGGAAGCTTTAAAAGTGGAGGTTAGGCCAATTTTTCTTTCAATGTCTTGAAAGCTCGCTGGCAAGAAACTGTCCATTCAAACTTCTGTCCCTTTTTGGTCAAATCATGTAGTGGAACAGCTATAGTTGCAAAGTTCTTCACAAACTTCCGGTAATAGGTACAGAGACCCAAGAAACTTCTTAACTTCTCCCACATTTTCTAGTGTTGGCCAATCATGCACTACTTTCACCTTGCCAGGGTCAGTTCGCACACCATGCTCACTACAATGTGACCCAAGCAAAGCACCTCTTTCTGGAACAAGTGGCATTTTTTGGGATGGAGTTTGAGGTTTGCTGCTTTCATATGCTTGAATACTTCCTCTAACCTGGATACTTCCGCATCAAATGTTGCTGCAAATACAATGACACCATCCATGTACACTAGGGCTATCCTCCATTGTAGGCCTACCAGTACTCTTTCCATCAGCCCCTCAAATGTTGCTGGAGCATTGCTAAGCCCGAATGGCATCACACGATATTGCCAGAGACCTTGGCCATAACTAAATGCAGTCTTAGATTTATCTGCTTCAGCCATTTTCACTTGATGGAAACCCGACTTTAAGTCCAGAGTTGAAAAACCACCTGGCTCCACTTAGGGCATCAAGAGTATCATCAATTCTTGGTAGTGGGTATGAGTCCTTTTCGGTTATGCTGTTAAGTGCCCTGAAGTCCACATAGCGACGTTGGGTCCCGTCCTTCTTCTGGACTAGCACGACGGGAGCTGACCAGGGACTATCGGATTTCTCGACTATCCCTTCTTTAATTAGGCCATCCATGACCTTCTCCATCTCTTGTCGCTTTGCCGGAGCTATTCTCCTCTGAGGTATCTTTATTGGACGATGATTGCCTGTGTTTATTCTGTGCTCCACAACGTCTGTGCAGCCGAGGTCATAATCTCCTTTCGAAAAGACGTCTGCATAATTCGCCAAAAGTTCTCTAACCTGAAGAGCCTGTGATGATGACAAATGGACTGTTCTCTTCTTATAGAGGTCAGATAGATGTTCTGGGAGTGTATGTCATTTCTTTATAGTTGTATTTCTTGCCTTAACATTGACTAGCTCTACCTTCTGGCACACACCCAACAATGCCCCTTCCTTTAGTGTCTGTTCACATTTAGAAACACTAGCCACCTGTTATGGGTACTACTTGATGACCTACCACAAGTGACCTTTCAATCTTCACGTCTGCTGGCCTGGATGGGTCTTCCACTGCTTCCACAAGCATTAGGCTTCTTTGGGGATGTTTGTTTATTCTACTCCAAATTATCTTCCCTGCAACTCAAGAGATGATGTCCCTCAAATCATTAAGGGACATCAAAGACACCCTTTCCCACTTTGGAAAGGGTTAAGCTTTAATGAGAAAAGGATGTAATTTTCAAGCACTATGAAAAAATGATAATTTATTACTAACCCTTTTTGTTCCTCTTATGTTTTTGTTCATAAGTGCCAATATCTATGACATATTGAAAGTGAATTATGGAAAATAAAACAAAACTGAGCCAAACAATCAACTTGTGTAAATCTGATTTATTTGCCAATTAAAGTCTAATTAATAAAATAGCATGATTTAATATTGTTTTAAGTTTGCATATAGATATATGTTGAAGGATATTTCTGTCATGTCTTTTGCGCTACTTATTGTAATTCTTTACATAAAAGATCTGTTGCTTCATATTCAGCAACAACTTTTCTTGCATTAAATTTCAACTACTATAGACACTTTAATAATGACAATAATATCATATGATATCATATACTCTAAAGGTTATCCTGTTAAGCTCTGTAAAACTTAAGTACAACCCAGTACATCTAGATAATTTTGAAGAATTTTAAACTTTTTTTTTCCTGAAAAGGCTAATCCATATTTGTTCTGCATGTATAATGGATTGAGAGATAAAGAACATGTGATAATTTTGATTGAAAACATAAAAAAACAGGGAGTGTATGTGCTTATAATTAAAGCTCATTGGTTAATGGGATTGGGAGATATAATTTGGTGATTATGTGGATTCAAAATGATAGGTTACTGACTATGTGAATTGATAATTAAAGTTGTCTGACTCTGTTGATTTGATGTTAGATCTTGTTTTTTTACCCTGTATAAGTAGTTGAAATTTTCTTATCTATTTTGTTTTATTTTTTGTTTTTAGCTAACAGATTTTCATAACTAATGTGAATCGGAAACCCTTTTGTAGATCATTAAGATAGAGATTTTCTTTGGAAAAATATTCTCTAGCAATTAAATGTTCTTTGCATTCATTTATATCCATTCAAGTAATAAGAGAAATTAATCTGAACAATACTGAACTTTTCAGTATACATAAATCCCAAATGTGAAAAAGTAAAATCCAAGTCTAATTCTATGTGTACTACTTACTAAATAATTTTTTTCATTGAATATAGACAAATAATTTAATCCAGAAATATCAAAGAGAAGAAATAACTGTATGGGGAAACTTTAGCCATCTGATCACAAACAAGTGTTTCAGAGAAGTGAGTATGTTTTAGTACAGTTCTCCTGTTTTATCTATGGCTTATGTTGACATTAGTGAATTTAAGGAATAAGTAATCTTATATATAGAGTTCTCTTTTGTAATAAACAGGATTTTAGTTATAAATGTGGGTAAACCCCTTTTTTGTTTCATGTTAGTTGTACAGTAGTTGAGTACATTATATTATAATTACCTTTGAGTCTTGCTCATCATTAGTCAATGTCTCTACACATAGTCATGTTCTGTCTTATGATTGTGCATCTTGAAAATATCTTTGCAGCATAGCTTACATTGCAAAAGGCTCCATCATAAGGCTATTATGTCCAAAGCACACCATTCCCCCTGCTTGGTTCCATGTGGATAAAATAGTTTGTGGGGTGAATAGGGAGAAAACAATTACTTTATGCTATCCATAGGCAAGGATGAAGAATATAAACGACAGAGCTAATGATGTAGGTATGGGTAGATCAGAGGAGATAATTGTTAAGTTCAATTCATTAATAAAGGCATTCAAAGAAAAGGGCCATAATAACTTATTCTATCAAGGATACTTGTCAGTCCAAAATAAAACCCATTCTTTGCATGTTTTTCACCTATCAAACTGTGACCCTTTAACACTTACACTACTCTTAACCATTTAGCCTGGAGATAAATAATCAATACTAAATACAAGTAGCCTATAGACAACACTGTTAAGCCTAACTTAAAGTTAGGTTTATTGAATTATTTCTCTACTACTGTATCTTCTCATTAAAGTAATTAAGTTTACCTTTAAAATGAGAAGTGACAAATAGCTAGTCTTTAGATTATATTTATATAACAATACAATATATTTAGAATGTTTTATATCCTACAATAACTGAATATGCTTAATTCTCTGTTATACAAATCCTCTGTTAACCATCACTTATACCATTAATGATCAATGTACTACAGCTGTGATGTATATGTTTTTAGTTTCACATAACTAAATGCTAATTTAAACATTTTACTAATATATTAAGTTATCAGCAGTTATAAAATAGTAATAGAAACAGAAGTTAATCTTTTAAGTTAAATTCTCTGTCTTGCTTAGCTAACAGTATTGAAAAACTATTTTACTCTAATACTTAATAGCCTTATTATCTTATAACCCAGTATTAGTAGTAGTAGTAGTTACTTAAAAACTAAAGGAAAAAAATGCTTAAAGATTAAGTATCAAAGCTAATATCATAACATTACACTTAGCTATACCTGTAGTAATAAAACCTAAAAATTTGTCATCTCCTTCAAAGATAACAGTAACCTGATTCAGGGAATTTAACATTGAATGAAAATTGCTGAATTGAATTTATTAGATGTGGAATCTATTCTTTGAATGCACAACTTATCTTATGATACTCATCATTGAGGTCAGACAGGCTTTGGTCAGTCCAACCTTTATTTTTATGATTGATGTTTTCTATGCCTTCTTTTTTCAGTATGTGATTGTGATTAAATATATTATATTTTAAGTTGCACTTATGGGCTGCTCTTATTTCTACTTGTGTAAAAGAAAACATTGGGAGTCCTCATTGTAATTATTTGACATAGTTTTAGTTCACAGCAGCTTGAATTTTTAATCTTGGACTTTCTATGTGTTGTGGAAAAATTTTAATTAATATATTTGCAGGAATAAAGTCTGAAAGGCAAAGATGCTTTAAAAACTTTAGAACTATATATATATAGACATATCACAAGAAGAAAGGTCGCTGTTTTTTTCATACAAGACATTTTTCAGGAGATATTGTATCAATTGATTACATAAAAACACACTCATGAAATGTAATACTGAAGTCATATTGTTTTACCAACATAAATTAGAAAAAGAAAAAAGCCATATTGAATAAAAAATAATCATTTCATCAAATCTGTTATTACTTTCTTCATAAGGAATATTTTAGACACTGAGCCATAGTTAGTAATGACAGAGAATCAAATTGAAGGCTGTTAATGTATTCATCTTCACAGTAATGAATTGTAAACCAAAGCTATTTACATATCCCAAGTAAAATCAGTAAATATGTATTGTTTGGTGGTGTACAGTGAATGAGCTCAGTTAATCCCTTTTGTATAAATAAGAATGGAAAACTGCTAGTAAATTTTCACTGGTAACCGTCTGAAATCCAGATCTAGCTTAGCTTCTTATACAACATGATTCAGGTACAATTAGATGTATGCTACTCACATGAGCTTTACTATAAGTTACAATAATTGTGTTTGAAACTACTGTCCTCATGCTAAAGAATATGTAGCTTTTTCTAGTTCTAAAGTACACAACACTTTTACCAAAGTTCATGAACTAAAAATCAATACTTGTGATTAAAATATTTCTTTCCATTACTATTACAAAAATAAAAGAAAGGGTCATGGTGAATTATTCATAAAACACTAGCACACTAAAGGTAGTCTTATCTAGTGTTTTTTGTTGTTGTTTCTAAGCTACAAAGGGTTAAAGCTGATTCTAAGTATTTGTGGAAAATATCTTTACAAGTTTTATGCACATTCTTTTAACTGTTCTGTTCATTTTAAGCTGTACATAAAAAAGTATGGTATTTGGGGAATAGCTCCAATTGAGATTGTAGCACATCTTTTCTTCATACTTTTTATCTATTTATGAAAAAGAAGGCATCCTTGAATGCTTCTTTTAAAAATAGAAAATTTTTCTTAGCAGGAAAAAGCTACTAACAGTGTAATGTAAGAAAATATTTTTATCTACATTAGTAAACCAGTACATCAAAATAATTAATTATCAAGATTAGTATACCCTGAGTACAACATTGTTATCATGTGGAGTATATTTTCAAGGGTTATTGTTCAGTAGGTAATTATAAATATGTATCAAACACACATGGTGTTTGTGTTGGTACATACTTAGGCATAGATTTTTCTCTTCAACAACATATTCAACTATTTTTATCTGCCAGCTAGTTATAGTGTTGAAAGTCTAGAAACTCCCAATATTCCATTTATTCCTAAATTACATATGCTATCTGCATACATTTTCCTTTCATAGATTCAAGGGAACCCATTATGGATTTGAAATGTAGATTATTCAGTTACAGAAACTCTGACTTAATAAATGAACATTTTCAAACACAAGCTTTGGTCACAATGTTTATATTGTTGCTTATTGATGATTATTTGTTGAGTGGTTTGGTTATTTGTGAGATGGAAAGAATGTGGTAATTTGAATTATCAACAAAAGTATCTTATTAACAATTGCTAGTGGATTAGCATTCAAGCTAAGTTGGTAGAACACTCCTCTATCAAATGAGAAGTCTCAGGTTTCATACAGGTTCAAGGAAATAGAGAAAAGGACAACATAAAATAACCTCTGTACTTAGAATGATTTTGCCATTTGTCTCAGAATGAAGGGAAGTCTGAGCCACAAAAATTAACCCAAGTTTAAATAATTATAATCTATAAATGGTTTTTGTTACTGTTGGAATTTTTTCGATAGAAGTAAGTATATGTTATTTTATATTTACTCAAGGCATAAAGTGTCATCCAAAATAACTTGAGAAAGAAATATTACTGCTAGGGAAGTTACTTGTATAGTTAACTGCTCGGTATAGTTTTGAATAAACAATACAGTGAATTTTCCAGGCCTTTATTCTTTTATATCCAACAAGATACAATTAAATTAAATATATTTAATGTTAGAAGTATGTGTTTTTAATTCTTAAGATGGTGTATTTATGTTAATTTACTTTTTTTGTGAAGATATGACAGAATACAAGGACTGAAATATAACATAATGAAGATATGGTGATTTCCTGAAAGTAACCTATTATTATATACATAAAATGTTTATGTGTCATGGATTTTATTTTGAAAGGAAGAGTAGTCACAGTAAGCTTTAAATTTTTAACTAAAATTAATCATGTTATTTATCAGAAAAACTATGTATAGTTAAAGTCTGATTACCTGATTCATTTGCTTTGTGCACTTTTATAGCACTTTATAGAATATTTATATTGCTAAATAGTAAAGAACAAGTAAAGAGAAACTTTTCAAAAAAGGAAGTAAATGTAGGGATGGCTAATATCAATCCTTCAAAAATAATACAAACAAGATAATAGGGATGACATTTGCATTATCCCTACATAATAGCACACATACATAGTGTAGTATAATGTTAACAGGCAAAAATAGGATAAACTAATCTCATTTGTGACTGAATAGTTATATATATTGCTATATGTTAATTCTTGCTTTAACTATTTCATTACCATTACAACTTTCTGATTGAGTTTTTCTACTTATGAAATGAGTCATAAATAGTGAAATGCAGATAAACCTTACAGGAATAAATGGCTTTGAATGACATTACATACAATTGGGCTTCTGATTACTATTAAATTCAAACACTAATGGACAAGTAAAACATTAAAACTTGATTGTGATTGGTATAAAAGTAGCAAACCTTCTTACAAAATTGAGGAAGGAAACCATTCAGTGTAATGACTGTGTCTAAAGAACTGAATCATATTTAACAAAATAGGTAACAGGTTATGAAGTCATGATAACACAAAAAAGCACACACAGATTAATGACAAATTATATACTTCTTTGAAAATTTAAGAAAATGAAAAGGAGGACTAATATGGAAGACAGATGCAGAGTATTAAAATTATGTTTATGCAAAATTTAGGATAAATGGGCAGTTGCAAGAATGAGGAAAATATTGTTCATTTTAGACATTATAGGAAATTTCTTGAAATGTTCCATTGCTGATTTATATGTCCTTTATCATCAGGTGATGCTGGAGATTGTAGGTCAATGAAAAAAAGTTCTCAAGCTGTTATATTACTTCAGTAGGCTTTTGACCATAGCTTTAAAAATAGGGCTTTAGTTTAAAAAGTATAGAAATGAAGATAATTTTATAATTTTTAAATTCACAAAAAATTAAACTGTAAGCAAGTAAGGAGTACATTGAAATACAAGCTTACCTACTGCACTATAATATGCCTTATCCTGATAGCATGTTTAATTTTTATGGTTTTTAACTAAATTTAAACTATTCTTAAGCCCTTTCACATTAAAAAACATATTCAGTCTTCTTTAGGCATCTCTGTTGGGAGATAGCTTATCTTTGCTGATGCAAGCTAGTAGTCAGGTTTCTCCACCTACATACCAATGATTCTTCAGGATGCCTTCATGCCAAAACCCATGTAAATGATTGTTGGATCCTAGCCAGAAATGTATCCATATATTTTGTTTTCTTCTTGTGCATTTTCATTCTACAGCTACACCTTGCCAATTAAGTTTTAGAGTTTGAATTTTTTTGAATTTTTATTTTTTTATATGACTTATAGTAAATTTTTTAACTGTTGTGAATTGTTATAACCTGATGCTTTGTTTATAGTGTGTTTTTGATGTTAATGTGCATGATAAAACTTTCTCATAAGTCGAGTTTTGTGAGGCTGTT